AAAGTTCTCGGCGCCCCGTGGGGCCGGTGGACAGGTCGTCTGAGGAGGCCGAGGACGATGGCGAGCCGCTGGGTTGGGTGTCAGTCTTGGCCGTGGACGGACGGGCGTAGCGCCCCGCTGTGGGTGAGGCCTAGGTAGGTAATGCTGTCGGCTGACATGAAGGGCTTGGTGCATACGTTGACTGTACTGCGGATGGGCATGATTGTGAACGCGGTGGCAGGTAGAGGGAAATACGTGATGTGGTGTATGTGAGGTGGGAATGGCAGAGGGAGACAACAGCAGTGGCAGACAGCGATTTACAACTGCCAGAGGACCAGGAAAGTTTCCATGATAAGATGCCTGATTATGAACATGTTCTCACTTACAGATGCTCAAAGCCGGCCATCGTGAATGTTGCGCCTCGCGCTGGCGTGGCAATTGTTCTCAAGAACAATGGTCTACCAATCCGTTGCGTTGCGCCGTGGACAATGTGAAGGAAGCGCCAACCGACTTTTCGTTATCAACGCTAGGTATATAGAAAGTGATTCAATCATCAAGCCATTTCCTAACAACAAGCGCTCATGCCGAGTGGGTGATGGCGAATCGAAATGACTGGCGATGGCGAGGTTTCACTCGACACACATCAGAGTCTTCACCGAGGTGTGGTGAAGGTCAGGGGTTCACCGACAGCGTGGTTCAACCAGCGAGGGGCTGCACCGCGGGGCACGGGCCGTTCAGGGGCTTCAGGGCGCTGTGGGGTCAGAAATACAGCAGCGTTCCTTAGGATCTAGGGCGTGTCTCGGGCGGCTCTGACGTAATTGTAGAGCCTCAGAAACAGACTTCAGCTTGGAGCCCCTCTTGTTTTCCGCTCCCGATCCTCCAACGACAACCTCACAGCGAGGCATCGTTGCCCTAGCTTCTCATCGTGTTTACTTTACTTTCAGACGGAAGGACTCGCCGCATAAGTATCTTGCCAAGACAAAATCGGAAGCGACAATTTGTACCAATCCCAAAAAAAAAGAGTGCATTGATCTGCGGTATCGTGAATCTTGAAGCCCCCCAACATGGATATCCGCGCAATCGACCGAGAGGAAAACAGGCGTCGCATGGCAAATGGCGAGCTCTACTATGCCTTCTCGCCTGATCTCATAGCCGATCGCCAACGGTGCCGCAAGGCGTATCAGAGACTGAACGCGGCTAGTGATGTGAGCCGCAGGGAGCTCGTTGAGCTGTGGAAAGAGTACCACCAGCCCCCCCTCCCCCCCTCAGGTCAGCCTTGTGGCTCGATGATTTGTCGCTGACGACCTGACAGCCTCAACTGTGACGAGACACCTCTTCCTCCGCAAGCCATGAGCCAGGAAGAAGATGACATGCTCCTTCAGGACTGGCCCTGGATCGACTCTCCGATTCGGATGGATTACGGTCACAATGTCAAGTGAAGCTGTCTCTCCCCATTATCCGCATGGCGTACTGCTGACGCTTGCTCATAGGCTTGGACGGAACGTTTATGTCAACGTGAACAGCACCTGGATAGACACCTGCCTCATCTCCATCGGCTCGCGCACGCTCATCGGGCCCAACTGCTCTTTCTTCAGCGGAACCCACCCGCTGGACCCGACCCTCCGCAACGGCACGCAGGGTCCCGAGGGCGGCAGGCCCATCACCATCGGCGACGACTGCTGGTTCGGCGGCAACTGCATTGTACTGCCGGGTGTGACCATCGGCCGGGGTGTGACGGTCGGTGCTGGCAGTGTCGTGACCAAAGACGTTCCGGATCACATTGTCGTTGCGGGTAACCCAGCGCGCGTGATCAAAAAGGTTGAGGTATCGGTGCCCGCCGAAACAATCCCTGCCACATCGACGAATATCAACTATGCTTCGTAGAAGTCTTCACAAGCCGCCTTGTATGGAGAAGGAGGAGACGATGAGGACGAGGACGTTGATGACACCCCAGAGGACAGGGACCCAGGTCGACATGGAGAAGTAGCCGGCATTGTACACAGCCCCGAGCCTGCGAGTCGTCGCCAGTCAGCAAAGAGAATGCCACGTCAGGCAGTAGATAATGCTCAACATACACCAATCCCACTACACTTCCAGCGAGGAGGCCTTGAATCAGCGCTGCGGCGACGTAGACAATGGGAGCTACCCAGAGGTACATCAGCGAGCGCTTCTTTCCGCCCTGCATGGCCAAGGCGATAAAGGCAGAAGCGAGATGCACAACCCCGTAGATGATCAGAGTCCACAGCACAGTGAAGCGCCAGATGTCGCCGATGTAATACAGGCTCCAGCGATGGTCCTTCGTCAGGTCCATCAATTGGAAGGAGATGGACGGAAACGGGGGGGTTTGGTAGTTATCTGGCGGGTAATTCTCCGCGCGAAGCGACATAATGGCGGTGGTATGGCGCTCCTGCTTTGGTCGAGACTTTGCTGAGCGACGAGACCGTTCATGGCATGCTGAGTTGCGAGGCTCGCCATGGACGAAAGGATGATTGAAGGACAATGCTGTCGCAAGACGGTGGGTGGCGGGTGCGGTAAGTGGGCGTGGAAGGAGGGGTGGGCAAAACGAAAGCGACACCTGGGGTGTCGTTCGGCAAGCTTAAGGGGTCGCGTTAGGCTCCATCACCTGCCTCGGTACGGACGGCCCGCCCAGAGAACGTCACTTGTGGTCCGGCGACCTGGCGACCACCATCTTCCATCTCCAAAGACGCATCCCCCTCGCCCAGGAACCGAATAAGTACACCGCGCCGAGTAATCATACTGCGTGAGTCCAACATGCCAGCAGACCGCCTCCTCAACACAGTGTTGCAACTGTACCGGAACGTTCACGACGACCACAAGACAAACCAGATAGTCGGATCGACTACGAACCTCCTCACCACGCTCTCCAATCCGCTGAACCTCGGCGTTCTCACCTCGCAACTCCTCATCGCACCCGCGATATGGCACCGACGAGATGGACTCCGGACGAGCCTCCGCATCATCAGCATCTACAATACCGCGGCTCTCCGCGTTCGTGACCACGAGCTTGACCCCACCACGCATCAGGGCCAGAGACAGAGCGGCGGGCTCACGTCCGAGGTGTGGGCGAGGGCCGTTGCAAAGGGTGCTGATGACCGCTCGCACAGATGGCAACATCTCCTGGTCCTCACTGGTGTGCTCATGGGCATGGAAGGCAATGACCGGCGATCCTTGTCGAATGGCTTGCGCGGCACGCTTGAGCAGGCTGTAGTCACTGCGGCGAACCTGGCAATGGAGACGGCGACAATTGAAGGGCCGATGGCCACAGGTTCAATTGTTCTAGCGTTGAACTACGCGTTTCCACTCTTGTCGGAAACACGCAGAAGCCTGATCAACTACGATGCGCTTCTGCCACTTGCCGTGCAGGCGATGTTTGCCGAGGAGGGGTTCCAGAACGGCGACTTTCTGGCTGCCATCAATAATGATATCCAGGATGTTGGCTCCCAAATACATTGGGCGCCAACTTCTCCCTCGTATGCCGCGCTGCAGGCTCTCGAGTCGAAACCGATCATGGGGGGCATGGGTCCGCTGTCGAGACTGGCTGCCTTTGCCGTGGAACAAGCGACGGACCCCGCCGTTGTTCTGGCCGCACACACGGCGCTGATGGAATTCAGCCATCGCGTCAGACACCAATGGCAAGCCACGCGGCTGTCGAGTATCGACTCTCTCGACGAGTCGATGCGCTATACTACCGAGGCTTCGCAAGTCACCGTGCCGGTGCTGTGGCAGACTTTTAAAAAGATGCTCTACGCAACGGTGACGACGTTGCAAGCCATTGTGGCGCGGAGTCTGCTGGATCCATCTCTGAGGAGCCGAGAGGTTGCTCCGGAACTGGCCACCAGAACACTGCGAACGCTACGCGATCTTTTCTTCATTGGCTCCAGGGACAACAACAGCTCGTTCCAGGTTTACTCCTTTACCTACCTCACATCTCTTGACACCCTGGTCAGATATCCTGAGGCTGCGGTTGCCTTCCTGGCGGGCATCAAGCCCACCAGTCCCAATGCCGTACGGAGTCACTCACTGTATCACCCAGTGCACCGATCTCTCGACCTTTTCTACCTCAACGTTGCCGAGCATCTGCCTCTAAATATCCCCACCGAGGCCTGCGACGAGCTCATCGTCCAGCCCGCAACAACCTACCTCACTCACACTGGCCCGCCGACATCGCTATCTCTGGAGATCTTCGAGTCCGCCCACAGCGCCATCCTGTCCGCCCTCGCCTGCCCTCACAACGGTCCAATGACCGTCAAGGTTGTGCCGTTTTACGTAGACACCCTCTTCGCCTCGTTCCCCTCTCATATCTCCACCCGCCAGTTCCGCGTTGCCTTCAAGACAATCATGCAAATCGTTTCGCCACCCTATCCCATCTCTGCCACAGACCCCTATCTCTCCGAGACCTTGCTCGAGATGGTCCGCTTCCGCGCCCTAAGCGCCGGCGTCGAGCCTCTACCTCCGACCCCGGACGCCCTCGCCCAGACCGAGGACAACGAGGACCAGCCGCCGCAGCCACACTCGGAACAGAGCTCGCTTGTCGTGACCCTCATCGACGCCCTGCCGTTCCTGCCGCTGCCCCTCGTCGAGGAGTGGATGACCGTCACGGCCAGGACGATGGCCGAGATTGCCGACCCCGCCATGCGCAAGCTCGTGCGGGAGCGGTTCGTCGAGGTTCTTGTCAGCGGAGAGCTGGATGTTGAGCGAGCGGCGATCGGCGTCGCGTGGTGGGGGACCAAGGGAGGCAGGGAGCTTGTCATTGGGAGGAGCGCGCCACCAGCCCTGATGAGCGGTGCGCTTGTGGAGGAGGAGAGGGCGAGCAAGCTCTGAGGTGGTTCTGGGTCTTTGCATAGCAGGGTCTGACCATGGATGGAATGTATGTATGTAGATGAAGCGTTAGAATACCCATTGCAAGTACTTTTGTGCACTTTGACTGCTTTTATCGCGTCTTTCGAGTTTGTGAACATGAACGTTTCCACACCCGTGGCGACGACTATTCGTCTCTTGTGGAACTGTAGACACGTCTGTCGTACCACACCATAGCGATGCATACCACGGTCATTCTCATGCGTGCTTCGCACTGCGAGATACTTGCAACACGGTCATTCTCATGCGTGCTTCGCACTGCGAGATACTTGCAACACTACACATTTTGCCATGGCCCATCTGCAGAGTGACTCACTACGGTAGGCCACGCTCCACAAGACACGAGCCTGTCGTCACCTGTACGCCCACTATACCTCTTCATATTGTCCCAGCTCATGCTGGTTTCCGTGGTTTTCAAATTCCACCCATTCTCAACTGAGGGCTCAGCCGGTACACAATATACATGCATTAACTGCTACCGCGCACTTCATTCGTCAACAGCGCCACATCTCACGCAAGTCAACTTGCATGAGCATAGAGGCAGATAGAGAACACCAGCCGACGAGGCAGAAGTCCAGCACCGACGCATGCACAGCACAGCACAGCACGGTAGAAACGGAATGCGACGATCGACTTATCATTAAGACTACTTAACCCTCCATCGACCGGGCTGACCCGGCCATGGAGGCCCATCGTCCTACGATGGTCTCTAATCATATACGGAAAGATATGAACACGACATCCCCCAAGCCCGCGCCCACGGGCCTCCGTTCCCTCTCCGTTGTTTCCAAGCGCCGTGTTCCGCGTGGTGGGCGCTGCAGCGCTGCAGCGCACAGCCCACTGTGTCTAATGAGTGTGGTATGTTTTCCTGATCCCGTTTCCATTTGCGCCGTAGAGGCTCCCGAGTTGGTCATAAAAAAGAGCCCGACGTATCGTGACAAAGGCCTACTTCCCCAACACCAGTATTACAATTATCGTCTATGAAGGGACGAAATCCACAAGTGGATAGAGAAGTGAAAATAGGGACATTGAAGAAGAAGATAAAAAGGTCAGGGGAGAGAGCTCTTAGAGGAGAGCAATGGCACCAGCGATACCGGCCACCATGGCAATGACGGGAGCCTGGTTGGCTTGAGCAGCGGCCGTGGGGACGGTCTCGGGCGCAGTCGTGGCGGGGACGGTGACGGCGGGCTCAGAGACGGTCGTAGGGGGAGGGACAACAACCTCGGTGAAGGTGCTGGGCTCGGGGTGGACAACCTCGGTGGGCTGGATGTGAATCGTCTCACCCTCCTCGTAGTGAGTGACGGTCACGGCCTGCTCGCCCTGGATAGTTGTGTAGATGACCGCCTCGGCAGTCTTGGTGACATCAGGCTTCTGAACCGTCTTGATGTGCGTGACGGGGACGTGCGTCGTGATGACTTCCGTCTTGTAGTGACTAATGGAGAAAAGGCGTTAATATTGCATTTGTGCCATTTGTGTGGTTTGCGTCACTCACGTCTGGACAACTGTCTTGCCGTCAATGACGGAGGTCTGGTAAACGGGGACCTCAATCGTCTTGGTCTGGTACTCGACCTCTTTGTCGATGGAGGTGACATCAGGGCCAGGAACTTCGTGGACCTTGGTGACAGGCACGTGCTCGGTGACGATCTGAGTCTCAATGTGGCTACTTCGGGTCAGCTGAAGTCGACAGTGTTACCCGTGATGGGTGCAGACTTACGTGATGACAGTGGTGTGCCCGTCAATGTACTTGGTCTCGGTGACAGGCTTCTCGATGGTCTTGGTGATGTAGTCGGTGGCCTTCTCAACGTGGGTCACGTCAGGCTTCTTGACGGTCTCATACAGGGTCGTGTAGACCTTGGTCACGACCGTGTCGGTAGTCGTGTACCTTGAGTTGTGTTAGTGGTCAAGCATCGAGCAGTACCGTTCGGCAGCTGAACTCACGTGTTGTAGTAGGTTGTGCCGTGCTCGGTGATGGTCTCGGTGGTGGGGCAGAGCGAGGTGATCGTGATCTCGTATTCGGTAGTGACCGTGACATGCTCGGGGGGAGGGTACTCGTGAGGGGGAGGAGGGGAGTACGACTCCTTGAGAGGTTCATAGACGGGGTGGGACTCCTTGGGAGGCTCATAGACGGGGTGGGACTCCTTGGGAGGTTCATAGACGGGATGAGACTCCTTGGGAGGCTCATAGACGGGGTGGGACTCCTTGGGAGGCTCATAGACGGGATGAGACTCGACAGGAGGCTCATAGACGGGATGAGACTCGACAGGAGGCTCGTAAACCGGGTGGGACTCCTTGGGAGGCTCGACGGGAGGGTACGACTCCTTGGGAGGCTCATAGACGGGGTGAGACTCAGCAGGAGGCTCATAGACCGGGGGGTCAGGAGCGGGATAGTCGCCGGCGGCGACAACGCCAGCCAGGGCCAAGACGGCGAGGGAGAACTTCATCTTGAGTTTGGGGGGGAGAACGAGTGGGTTTTCTGTCTTGTGAACGAGGGGCGTTCTGTGGGATAGCACCGATCGAACGAGGGTTCTTAAGTAACCTTAGCGAAGGAGTTACTTGGGAGCAGCGAGGCGGACGGGGAGGTTGGCTGAGGGAGACTTGAGAGAGGCTGGTGAGAACGTTATCAGGGAAAGGAGGAGGATGGCCGGTAAGCTTATATCTCCTTCCGAGGGCTGAACGCCATGCTCCCTGCTTGCATCAGACAGGCAGATAGTACGCCCATCCCACGAAGAAAAGGTGTGATGATGTGCCATGGCCCAGCTCTTGCCGACCGCGCTGGCCATTTAGCCTCCGATCCCCACAAGCGCATGCATTAGTCGATGCCGATGACCACTTTTCCATGGACGCAGCTAGGAGGATGGGTCTCGAGTCCGAGTCGTCACAGTCTGTGGATGAGGCCAAGGGCGACCAAGACATAGTACACCTGCCAAGGGGTGTGACACGACGTGGGTGTAAGTCGCGGGGGGTGGGGATGCCATGGGCAACAGGGGCGGACCTGGACATGGTTTTTGCTTTTTCCGGACAAAGCCCACGTCCAGCCGTGCTTCTTCGTCTGAGATCACCAGGTTTGGTGATAAGGCGTCAGGATTCCCTGGGTAAGGTACCCAGGGAAACCGGCAAAGGGCAGGCGAACGATCACTGTGGCGCTGAACGCAGGTCAAAGGGCGAGCAACAGACGAGGTTGGCCAAGGTTGGTAAGACAACGCAGACGACAGGTGACAGGGGGTTGGGAAGGCCCTATCACGACGACATGCAATTAAGTGGTCCAATCATGGGCGGCATGGCATACGTAGACGGCATGGCCGGCGTGCATGACTTCATGTCTATGCCCTAATCCAGACCGCTCTCGGTCAGGAGTTGAGTAGATGTGAGAGCACAGACGAATACATGTCTTTCCGACAATCGATACAGGCGAGAGTAGCCAGCATGATTGGCTGCTATGTGGTCCAAGAATCATCGAAGGCAAGACCAAGGGGCCAGACGAACGAATGTTGATGTCGATATCGGAGGTCGGCGAGGGGTTGGCGTGATCCGTAGGGTGGAGGAAGCCGCCGTTCTGGTAAGGGGCGCTCCGTCAGGACATCATCATGGGCTTCGGGACCAGTGGTTGCAGGGGGCAGCTAGTGCGCCCGGTCCCTGAGTAGCCGGAAAGTCAATGCTGCTCATCCTGCGGAAAAGCGAAGTCGACAGAAGAAACGCCTCTTTCTGAGAAGGGGCAGCGAGGGCCGCTAAAGCGTACAGCAAAGGAGGGTAGACCTCGTGTCTGAGTTCTTGGCGCTGTACTAGGTCTTAGAGCTTTCCTTGGGGTGAGAAAAGTGTTGCTTTTGGGTTGCGTCGCCAGGCAAATCGACTTGCGAGGACTGTTGCGGCATTGCTCCCTTGACGACCGCCCCTTCGGTGGCAGTCGGGGCGTACAACCGGCTCCCACAAGATTCGAGGATGCATCTCAGGCCGTACGACGTTGAGCGGATGGCGCTCGGCGAGCGAGGGCAACAAGGCATATTGTTGTGTTGAACCCCACGCCACGTTGACGCCCCGGATGTTGTCAGAGTCAGAGTCAGTGCCAGCCCAACTTGTGGCCGTAGACCCGAGTCGGGCCACTATGAGTTGTTCCCCAGGGGTTGCCCTGCTAGTCGCGATCTTCGGGATCGACTGGAGCAAGGACCATTTATCCCAACGGACCGCCTTTTCAGCACACAAGCGGGGCGAAATCGAGGTCGATGTCGGAATCGTCCGTGCATAGTCCACTCTTCTCTTTGGTTTACAGAAAAGTAGTCTTCGCATCACGATGAACTGCTGTCAAGGGTGGGAAAACAGTAAACACGTCCGTCAGGTTGCCTGTGCCTGGCGCCGTGTTGGCAAAGAACCGAGACATGCATGTCAAGTCAGCCCAGCGACAAGGGGCCTCTTTTTTTCTGGGCGTGGCAGCCCTAGAAGCCCAGAACCCCTCTGCTTTGGTCAGAAAAGCAAAGCGAACTGTCAGGGACAGCAAAGGACAGCGAGGGACAGCAGCACGCTTGTTCTGGCTGCGATGGTGCAAACCTGGCTGACCACATCCCTTCTCCCTCTCGTGTTCCAGTGGGGAAGCGTGAGACGGGCGGGTTGACTGCCATGCTTTATCATGCAAGTGGGTATTGGATGGCTGTAAGACCACCGCGGGAGGCGCCAGGGCTCGAACCTGAGTTCTGCTTGGTTGTGGACCAGCAAGCAGGCAGAGAGGTTCGGCCGCATGGTCAGCTGGCTTCTCCCCCATGTTCTCTGCCGTCGCTGATCGCTGGCCGGGGTTGATGTTGGATGACGGAGAGTACGAACTTACAGCCTCAGGGCAAGGGGGGGATGGGGAGCGGGTGAAGAAAAGCTCGTGTTGACGATGGCGCCAGTGCCAGTGTTGGTGAGGTGCAGTCGCCCGGGTAGCACAACGTCATGCGGGCAGCAAGGGGTACCATCTCCCCCAGTCCACCTAGGGCGATGGCGGTCCTGGACCAATAGCACAAACTCTGAAAACAAGCTTGTCCTTAGGAGGCGATTTGTTGGTCGGGCCATGCTTGAG